GATTTAATCTACCTGCTTAGTTGACCACAGTCACTTTCCAACGGAGGTGAAGAATCTGGTTCTCTTAAATGACATTATTTTATTTGATGTCAGACAGCAATTATGGACGGTGAAGTGGAGTAGAGTGCCAACATCTACCCTCACAATTGCTCACCACACAATTTCCTTACATAATACAAGCGTTGTGCCGTTCAAATGCAGGCTAAACAGGGGGAGAACTCACGGATAGTCAAGCAGGTCAGATTTCTGTGCGGATACGTCCCTCGTTCCTGTGCTCCCTGACCTGTGATTAGGAGCCTAGAAACCGCTTCAGCAAGTTGTAATGCTCGCGCAGGTGGGCATTCGACCCAGGCAACAGGCAATCATCATGCATTGTAGAGGTACCGATTATCCCCTGGAAGTCCAAGCAGCCGCATTATAAAATCACATTAAAATCACTGACAGTTTCCCAAAGGCATAGGTTAAACCACTTAGTAAAATACTGTCTTTTAGTGTATTTTGAAAACCTGTGAATATAACTATTACAAGGTATCATAGCCGCCTTGAACGGGAAGTATCAGAATGGGAAAATCCTTATCGTATTGTACGAAGTGGTGCATGTAAAAGGGGGAATATCGGAGGCGCTCTACTATAAGAGGAAAGTTGCTTGCTCGTATGGAGACAACTATGAAAGCGTTGTTGTACCATACGTTACTTCAAGGGCATTGGAAGAGCAAATCAGAGATATGTGGAGACAGAGGATTTCCGAGCACATCCGGCGCCACGAGAATTGCACTATCATCTAGGAAGGGATGGCGATGTGTGTAACATTCATTGAGAATAATGTAAAGCGAGTCTGGAATCGGCATTGATGCTTGCAACTGAGGTGAAGGGAAGCTTGAACTCTCCGTAAAGTCAGAAATGCTCGAACTCAAATCACTGTCGATAATGTACCTAAATCAAAGGTCGAACCAAGGTTATTTACAACAAACATGCGAAAAAAATTCACATCGGTATTTTTACCTTATGTTTGCTAATAGCGCTTTAAGTAATTTCGCGTATTTGATATAATCGGTAGGTATAGGAAGAGGGCTAATTTTGTCAAAATATGCCAAATGAAAAATGGATATTCTTTGGGCGAATGGAAAACAATGGGACCACCTTTTGTAGGATAATTATGTTTAATTCCGAGTTGTGTTTTAATTTGCATCACATTTGAATAACTCAGTAATCCTTAAGCACCTCCTGCCAGATGCTGTTGACAAAACGTATTTTAATTATTGCTACCTATATCACTTTAGTGGGGTTAAACGGATCCTGACCAGTTGACCGATGGTTTATTTGCGAACAAGTTTAACAATCCCCTTCACAAACATTTACTCAAGTTTGATTTCCCTCAAATTTCTTAAGTAGTGTGCACTGTCTGCCCCTCAACATCTCACGTGCCTCTAAAGTGCTACTTCATCCACTGCTTCCAAATCAAAGCTTGAGGCTCACTGTGTGTTGCCGCGTAAACGCATTACACAAACTCCAATCTTACTTTCCACGCGAGGCACCATCTGATCCTTATAGCACATTATACTACTCCTTTAAAGTGGATTGCTTTGCGATGTGGTTATCAATTAATCAAATGTCTTGCCTACTGCTCTGCCCGTTTCATCATACTAGTTCTCTACACGGCTAACCTATCAAGGCAGTGTTCAAGTACTTCAAAGTTCAACTTTTGGCAATAACAGCTGAAACTGGTGAGGTTTGTAAAAGCAGTTGCGCGCATGCATTGCTAGGCACATTTGAGTGCTGGTATTTGACCCTCGGCCCTCTTGATTGCCGGTTGTGCCTAAAAGATATCCAACAAGTTTGCCCACATTAGGAGTCTGGTTTGTCTGTAATTCAAGATGAGCTGTTTCATGCAGCCTTTAATAAATTTTTCTTGAGAGTTATTTTATTTTTTTGATCCAGTGAGCATAATTAAAGGTGAAAATGTTCTATTTTTCTGAAGCATCGCAGTACATTGAAATGTCGAAGTATCTTCTGCCAATGCAGTATGTTTTAAAAACGCTTACCAAAACCTGCTTGCGAATATCACTATGCTACGTGTCCGTCAGCATATTTGATAAATTTGCTTAATTAGGCCACCAAATTATGACATTTCATGGAAATCGAAAGCAATGCCTGTAGGTCTACTTGAGGGCAATAAATGAGTGTCGACCATGTTTACATCCGCTGCAGGATGGTAAGTTCACTTACAATTGAGCATATGAGGAGGGTCTGGTCACCTACATAAGGTCAGTCTGCTTAGAAGCAACTTCTGCTATGATGTCGAAAGTAAGTCTCTTCTTCACGCACGTCATTTCACCCAACATCTTTCCATTTACCCACTCACTGTGGACCTGCTGGTGTTGGTGCATATCTACTGCCTTACATACCTGCAGACCTTACCTCTTCGGCTGTGACAACCCAATCGACTTTAGGTACTCAAGTTGATCACTTCCACAGCAAAAAATTTGAAAAAAGAATAAAAAATTGGCTACATAAATATAGTTTTAGATTGGGTGGTCAAGAATGTCAACTTTTTCTAAAATATCAAACTGGTCTGCTCTCTTAACGGACTGAGGCCAATGAGAACTTTGCTTTTACTTCTTTCTGGTGTTCTCAAATTCGATTCACTGATCCGATTGAAGTAAGGTAACACTCGTTTATCTCAAGGTTACGACCTTAAAGCAAATATTTGATGAGGTAAGTTGTATATTTGTTGTGGTTCTTCGGCATTTTCTTGTCACTGTATCAAGATTGAGTGAGGATTTAATCTACCTGCTTAGTTGACCACAGTCACTTTCCAACGGAGGTGAAGAATCTGGTTCTCTTAAATGACATTATTTTATTTGATGTCAGACAGCAATTATGGACGGTGAAGTGGAGTAGAGTGCCAACATCTACCCTCACAATTGCTCACCACACAATTTCCTTACATAATACAAGCGTTGTGCCGTTCAAATGCAGGCTAAACAGGGGGAGAACTCACGGATAGTCAAGCAGGTCAGATTTCTGTGCGGATACGTCCCTCGTTCCTGTGCTCCCTGACCTGTGATTAGGAGCCTAGAAACCGCTTCAGCAAGTTGTAATGCTCGCGCAGGTGGGCATTCGACCCAGGCAACAGGCAATCATCATGCATTGTAGAGGTACCGATTATCCCCTGGAAGTCCAAGCAGCCGCATTATAAAATCACATTAAAATCACTGACAGTTTCCCAAAGGCATAGGTTAAACCACTTAGTAAAATACTGTCTTTTAGTGTATTTTGAAAACCTGTGAATATAACTATTACAAGGTATCATAGCCGCCTTGAACGGGAAGTATCAGAATGGGAAAATCCTTATCGTATTGTACGAAGTGGTGCATGTAAAAGGGGGAATATCGGAGGCGCTCTACTATAAGAGGAAAGTTGCTTGCTCGTATGGAGACAACTATGAAAGCGTTGTTGTACCATACGTTACTTCAAGGGCATTGGAAGAGCAAATCAGAGATATGTGGAGACAGAGGATTTCCGAGCACATCCGGCGCCACGAGAATTGCACTATCATCTAGGAAGGGATGGCGATGTGTGTAACATTCATTGAGAATAATGTAAAGCGAGTCTGGAATCGGCATTGATGCTTGCAACTGAGGTGAAGGGAAGCTTGAACTCTCCGTAAAGTCAGAAATGCTCGAACTCAAATCACTGTCGATAATGTACCTAAATCAAAGGTCGAACCAAGGTTATTTACAACAAACATGCGAAAAAAATTCACATCGGTATTTTTACCTTATGTTTGCTAATAGCGCTTTAAGTAATTTCGCGTATTTGATATAATCGGTAGGTATAGGAAGAGGGCTAATTTTGTCAAAATATGCCAAATGAAAAATGGATATTCTTTGGGCGAATGGAAAACAATGGGACCACCTTTTGTAGGATAATTATGTTTAATTCCGAGTTGTGTTTTAATTTGCATCACATTTGAATAACTCAGTAATCCTTAAGCACCTCCTGCCAGATGCTGTTGACAAAACGTATTTTAATTATTGCTACCTATATCACTTTAGTGGGGTTAAACGGATCCTGACCAGTTGACCGATGGTTTATTTGCGAACAAGTTTAACAATCCCCTTCACAAACATTTACTCAAGTTTGATTTCCCTCAAATTTCTTAAGTAGTGTGCACTGTCTGCCCCTCAACATCTCACGTGCCTCTAAAGTGCTACTTCATCCACTGCTTCCAAATCAAAGCTTGAGGCTCACTGTGTGTTGCCGCGTAAACGCATTACACAAACTCCAATCTTACTTTCCACGCGAGGCACCATCTGATCCTTATAGCACATTATACTACTCCTTTAAAGTGGATTGCTTTGCGATGTGGTTATCAATTAATCAAATGTCTTGCCTACTGCTCTGCCCGTTTCATCATACTAGTTCTCTACACGGCTAACCTATCAAGGCAGTGTTCAAGTACTTCAAAGTTCAACTTTTGGCAATAACAGCTGAAACTGGTGAGGTTTGTAAAAGCAGTTGCGCGCATGCATTGCTAGGCACATTTGAGTGCTGGTATTTGACCCTCGGCCCTCTTGATTGCCGGTTGTGCCTAAAAGATATCCAACAAGTTTGCCCACATTAGGAGTCTGGTTTGTCTGTAATTCAAGATGAGCTGTTTCATGCAGCCTTTAATAAATTTTTCTTGAGAGTTATTTTATTTTTTTGATCCAGTGAGCATAATTAAAGGTGAAAATGTTCTATTTTTCTGAAGCATCGCAGTACATTGAAATGTCGAAGTATCTTCTGCCAATGCAGTATGTTTTAAAAACGCTTACCAAAACCTGCTTGCGAATATCACTATGCTACGTGTCCGTCAGCATATTTGATAAATTTGCTTAATTAGGCCACCAAATTATGACATTTCATGGAAATCGAAAGCAATGCCTGTAGGTCTACTTGAGGGCAATAAATGAGTGTCGACCATGTTTACATCCGCTGCAGGATGGTAAGTTCACTTACAATTGAGCATATGAGGAGGGTCTGGTCACCTACATAAGGTCAGTCTGCTTAGAAGCAACTTCTGCTATGATGTCGAAAGTAAGTCTCTTCTTCACGCACGTCATTTCACCCAACATCTTTCCATTTACCCACTCACTGTGGACCTGCTGGTGTTGGTGCATATCTACTGCCTTACATACCTGCAGACCTTACCTCTTCGGCTGTGACAACCCAATCGACTTTAGGTACTCAAGTTGATCACTTCCACAGCAAAAAATTTGAAAAAAGAATAAAAAATTGGCTACATAAATATAGTTTTAGATTGGGTGGTCAAGAATGTCAACTTTTTCTAAAATATCAAACTGGTCTGCTCTCTTAACGGACTGAGGCCAATGAGAACTTTGCTTTTACTTCTTTCTGGTGTTCTCAAATTCGATTCACTGATCCGATTGAAGTAAGGTAACACTCGTTTATCTCAAGGTTACGACCTTAAAGCAAATATTTGATGAGGTAAGTTGTATATTTGTTGTGGTTCTTCGGCATTTTCTTGTCACTGTATCAAGATTGAGTGAGTTGGTGACTGTTATGGTCCTACTCAAAGAAGGTAATTAGTGTGCAAAAGTGCTCCCCATCATGCGCCGTCAATTGTTGTGGGCAAATCCATGCTAACGCAACATCAGTTGACGGGTGGTCCTCACAATAA